GCGGAATCCCTGCTCGCCATGGTGAGGCGCCGGGCGCTGTGGAGCTTCTCCCTGCAGCTCGCCGCGCTGCCCTCAGCGGCGAGCTGGTCAGGTGGARCGCCGCAGCCGTTCAACAGCTCCTACCGGAGACCTGCAGAGCCGCCGCCGTGGAAGGGGTGGAGCGGCACCATGGAGGAGGAGGAGAAGGAGGGGGACGAGACTTATCAGGGGCGGCAGCAGCAGTCCAGGAGGTGAGCGGCGCTCCAGCGGCAGCAGCGCTCCGGGGCCGGGGGTCTCTGCCCCCGCGCCTTCCTGTGGGTAGGGGGGAACGGACCGAACCGAGCGGTGGCTCTCTCCCTGTGCCTGTCCGGAGGGGAGGCACTGCCTGAGCTGCTGCCGTCAGAGCAGAAGGAGCTGAGGCACCTGCTCCGAGCGCGGCAGCGGGGCTCGCCAGACACCCACACTGTACCGGGGCCCCGCCGGTGAGTGTGGGGGAAACCGGGCTGGGCCGCTGCGGGAGGCGGTGGGAGCGGGGTAGAGAGGGCGCGGGCACCCACTCGGAAAAGTTCGCGGATGGGCGGGCGAGGTGCGTGGGGCTGGCGAGCTCTGCTCCCGGCCGGGGAGGAGTGGAACAGCCCAGCTGCCCACGGAGCTCAGCGTGTGCCCCTGCCCCGCTGCCTGCGTGCCGCCTTGGCTAGGGACAGACCCTGATGGGCTCCAGCTCCAAAAGCAGCTGGGTCCAGGGCATCTTTCCGCACCGGTGAAAGAAACCCTGGAAGAAGAAGTCCTGTGTTCGTCCCCCAGCGTAAGGCTTTCGTTCTCGTCAATTGACTGTAAAACATGCTGCAGCAGCGCTCTTGGAAAGAAACAAGTTATATAATCGGTTACAAAAAAATCAGCTTCATAGCATCGGCGGCTTAGAGAATGTTTTCCTTTGAAGAGGAGGCACGAACGGATGTTTATTTGCGGTGGGAGCATTCGCATTGTATAGTGCTAAGTGGAAGATATTAAGGAAGTCATTTAATGTAATTAGTGCAGTCAAATAATCTCAATGATCGTCAATTATCCCTAGCAAGGATTTCGCAGAAGTGTTTGTTGACTGTCTTGATGGGATGCAGTTAAATTCATGAACTTCTGCAGAAATGTTTTTTTCTAGTGACGATTATGATTTCTTCCATTTGCTAAATGGCCATTATGAAGCAAGTTTTTTAGTTTTAAAGGAAAGTAATATTTGTAGTTAAGTATTTTTTCTTTAATTTTAAACTGAACCGAATAAACTGGCATCAAAATTAAAGGTACTGACAGGAAAACCACTTCAGTTTTCCAGAAAAAAATCCCTTGAAAAGAGTATTTTTATTCATAGTAGCAGCTGCATCAGTTAAGAAAGTAGGAAGCCTGATTTATTTTGTAGGTAAGATTTTGAGGAAGACAAGAATAAGATTTTTTTTCTTATTAATTCAAGAATTATTGCAGCAGTTGCTTTCAGAATACCCCAGATTTTCTGAAATTGAAAAGCCTATTATAAAAAGTAATGGAAATTTTTAAAAGGTGGAGATTGGAGAGCCCTGTTTGATTCAGTTATGATGGAGAGGAGAGGAGGAAGTAAGGGATACAAGTGAAACTGTTCAAATATAAATAACAATTATTCAGCTTCAGCTTGGCCTCAAGTCAAAAGAGATGTGCAGTCTTTTTAAGAGGAAGTAATCCATTATTATAATTTTATTCACTTGCAGTAGTAAGTAGGTTTGAGGAATAACCAGGAGAAATATGCTCTTTCTTCAGCCTTTATAAGCTCAAAATTGAACCAAAATAATTAATTCTTCATTCAGAAATAGCTCTTAGCATCTTTTCAGCAGAAAGGAAGGCAACTTTTTTGTCTGTGATGAGAAAAACAGAAATACTGCCATATTAATTAGTGACTTTATATGTAACACCTGCAGTGAAATTGGTTTTCCTTTTTGTCATATCTATAATTTCTTTCCTGATCTCACTTCCATTTTTTTTTTCAGTCTACTGCTTTAACTTTATAGGTTGCAGTGTGAGTTCCTRCTTCTAATACATTCAGAGCCAGGGCAATGGAAAATCACTTGATCACCAAATGCAGATTTGAGTAAAAAGGACTTTTCTGTAAACTAAATGTTGCACTTAGTTTAAATATTCTTAGAAAATCTGGGAAAGAAGTTATGTATTAYATCCTCTTTGTATGTAACATCTTGGTGTTGAACAGCTGTACAAGGAAGGGATCGTTTGAGTTTGAATAGCCTACAACTGTGCCCAAGCAGAWAAACCTTGCAAAGCTGTTCAGGAAAGCCAAGTGACACTGTGAAAACACTGCTGCCATTGTGCCCCGACTGTGAAAAACAAAGTTTGATAAGATGTGCAAGTGAAAAAATGAGTCTGAAGGAATTTATGTCAAGAGTTACTTCTTCTGTAATACCTGTTCCTGTGGCTGGAGCTGGTAATGCTACTGTCTGTTGAGTAAGGTTTATGATAGGATTTATTGCTTCAAATATTTGGAAGTATTTTTCTCATGCTGTCAGCTGGTTTTTGAGGGAAGGTTTCAGTGAGGTTCAACTGTTTCTGATAATGAGACTGTGGTAGTAATAAGGTAATTATGAGTTCCTATTCAGATGTGTTTACATGAAACACTTCAACTCCTTGAAACACCTACATATTTAGGATGGTGCCTTGAAAACTAGTGGATGGCTCACATGTGTGTTGGAAGGATGCCTTGACTCTTCCATACGAAGAAAAACCCAAACCACACAACTTCTAGTATTAACACTTCTGTTGTTGACTAACAACCAAAGCATTTGCATTGAATTCAGAGTACACGAGGACATCATAATTTAGAGTTGAGGGGATGGAATCAAAGGCCCTTTATATATAGGAAAAATGGGTGTAATGAAAAACATTTACGTATCAGGATGTTTCCAGTTTCCTTGAGTGTTGACATTTTRCTGTGTCTGGTGTACTGTCCCTTGGAATTTCTTTCTAAGTGGGTGTGTTTCAGTTAAAGAACCATAAGGGTGCTATATTGGATTTGTTTTCTGGCTTTCTAGTACAAAGTTTTGGATATTCAAAACTTATTGTTTGGAAAGACTGGTGACRTTTTGGCTTATCTCGTGTGACGGATGATTTTTGAACAGTTGTGTTCAAGAAAAGAACATATTTCAACAAAGAAAAAAATCGCTTATGTTAGCTGACCTGGAAATGTTTTGCTTTCATTTCGATAAATTTGGATTCAAATGTTATAGATAGTTCAGTAAAATCCATATATGTGTGGGGTGAATATTCATATATACACAGACAGGGAGAGAGAGACAATGTTGTTGGGACAAGCAAAAGTTGATTTTATATTAAAAATTAAGTAGAACTAGAAAGAATGTAGGTAAGTATTTTCATGTTGCAGAGAAATTGCATTGGACCTTATGTAACTGGACTTGGAATTGAAAAGAGGGAATCAAAATAGACAAGCCTTTAAATATGAATATAAACAAAATTTTATGACTGTTAACTTAAAAATAAAGTCAAGTTCTTAGGCGTTGCTACACTTCCTGGACTAATGAGGTTTTATAGGATTTTAAAGGATTATTCTTGGTGTGAGTCTAGAGGAAGTTTGCATAGGTGTTTGTTCTTTATTGGCACAGGGAGACAGGGATAAACAAAATTAAAAGGCTTAGTAAATGAAGTGGAGATAGCAATTGCACAATTGCAGACATAAAAGTGCCAGAGTTGATGATAAATGAACTTTAGATCYTATGTTACTATGTGGATCCTATGCATCAAAGTTTTAACATGACTTCTGTGCATTTTTATGAARCAGTTCTTACATTGCCTCTCTAACCACATGCTACAAAAGAAATCAGTTTTCTCCCATAGCATGTTCAAGTGGAGTCTTCATTTCATTATGTATAATAGTATTTGTGTTTAGTCATATCTAATTGACATTAAGATGTTAGATGGAAAACCTTTACCCTTAGGAAGGAATGTGAGCTTGTAATATTTTAAAACTTTATTTTCCTTAAGAAAAATATGTGCTAACAGCTTCAATGGCCTAATAACTTAAAATACAAACTCTAAGATGTATAGACTGTTAACACACAGGAGTGGTTAAAGTGTGATTTTAAATGCCTAACTTCAAAGTTCAGCAGTTTTTTTTGTAACAGTAAACCCCATCCTGGCAAGGTGTGCCTGTGTCATTAACTGGAGTCACATCAGTAACCAACTGAAACTAATGGACTACTCGTTTGCATAAATAGTCACAAGTGCAGCTGGTGCCAGAATGCCAAAGCTGGGCTCTGGGTCCTGTAGCTGGGTTGGTACAAATTTTGTGTTTGGTCTTTTGGAAAAGCTTTATTGAAATTGAAATTCTGTCTTAAGTGTGAAGGGCTGTCCATGGATTGCTGTTGGAATCCATTACTTACTTGTGCAGATGTGTGCATATGCYATCTGCACTTATTTTTCTGTTAGTTTAAAAATTGTCCACATTTGATTTGTGACCTGGGTATTGTCTTGTGTACTGTAAGACAATACAAGCTGTAATGCATAAGCCTTGCTTCTGTGTGTCAGCCTCAGTCCTGCAGATGAGGTATGAAAACTTCCATTCCAGTTCATCATCTTTCAACATTCTTCACTATAAATTAAGTAGTCATATGAGATTAGTTGTTTAGGGAGAGAAAAAGAAAGCAATTTCCTTTCTGGTGCAGGAAAATTTAACTCCAGCTTCCCTTTGGTGACTATTTCAGCAATAGCACAGAATTACACTGCTCTTGTGCTTAATCATAATGATAGTCTAGGCTGCTCATTTAAATGTGATGGCCACATGCCAGCTTTAAGGTTCTTTTATTCAAGACTGWGATAAAGATGAGAGTAGAGAGGAAAAAAAGTTATTGTACAGGCTTGTATTGCTAAAGAAATTAGCTCCTGGGTCTGTCATCTCTGTTCTACTGCATGTCCCCTAWGGACAACTACTGTCATATCAGGGATCACAACCTAAACAGAATATGAATGTAACAAAAAGCTTCTATCATGTTATCTACAGATCATAGACATGTTTGGGGACTATGGAATGTTCATATTGGACATGGACAATCAGCTGGGGCACCTGGACACGAAGGGAAAGTAGTTATGTGTTGTGCCAGATGCAGGAAGAGGCATCTTTATTCAGTTGATACAAGCCCATAGCTGGTCTGATTTAACCCAACATTAAGAAATAATTGGCTCCAGGGACTACTGATGGAACTGACTC